CCAAAGCAAATGAATCTTATAGCATAATATCAGACACTTGTAACCAAGTGTCTGATAAAGCCAAGGATCCCAGCTGTTGGGGAAGAACCTTGCTTTTTGACAAAAGCCATGTGAAAAACTAGACATCAGTCTGGCAGAAATTAGGTTTATGCCATATACAATGTATCATTCACACCATATCCCAAGAAGAGCTCTGAATGGATATATAACCTAGATATAAAAGGTCACATCATTGAACAAATTAAAGAAACAAGGAACAAATTACCTTTCAGATGTATGGATAGGGGAAGAATTAGTGACCAAGCACAGAAGATAAAATGAACAACTTTGATTATGTGAAGTTTTTGCACAAAGAAATCCAATGGAGCTAAGATTAGGAGAGAAATAGTTAATTGGGAAAAACCTTCTGCAGAAGACTTTTATGATAAAGGTATAATTTCCAAAATATATGAGGAATGATTCAAATTTATAATAATAGGAGCTATTTGCCAAACGATAAATGGTAAAAAAAAATATGAACAGGACTTCTCACGGGAAGAAATCCAAGCTCTCTATAGCCATATGAAAATGCTCCAAATCCCTAATAATTAGAGAAATGAAAATTACAGCAAATCTAATGTTCTACCATATATCTATCATTTGACAAAGTTGACAGAAGAGGAAAATGATAAATGTTGAAGGCACATTGATATATTGGTGGCATTATAGAATGGGTCCAACCATTCTGGAAAGCAATTTGGAACTATGCCCTCAAAATTATATCCTTTAAGCCAGCAATAGCACTTCTAGTCCTATTTTCCAAAAAAAATCAAAGAAAAAGGTCCAGTATGTAAAATATGTATTATATACCAACTTTTTTTCCTAAGTGGCAAAGAATTGGAAATTAAGGGGTTCCTACAAACTGAGACATGGCTGAAAAATTTATGGGATAAGATTGTAACAGAATGCTATTGTGCTGTAAGAAATGAAGATGCTTTCAGAGAAACCTGGAAAGACTTGAATGAACTGATGCAAGGGCAGTAACTAGAACAAAGAGAACTATTAACACTATGACATCAACACTGCAAAGATGAACTATTTTGAAAGACAACTCTAATCAGCATGATAATCAATCTCATTCCAAAGGACTGATGATGAAGAATGTTACCCACCTTCCCACAAAGAGGTGATACACCAATATAGAGAATGAGACAGACACATTTTTGGACATGGCCATTTTGGGAATTTGTTTATACTTATTTGTTATAAGGAATTTTGTTTTATTTTATTTCTTCAGTAGAGGTGGGTATGTGAAAGAAAAAATACGTGAATGATAACTGAAAAAAATTTTTTTTAAAAAGAGCACATTGGGGCAGCATGCCATAATGGATGAAGAGCTTACTGCAGAGCCAAGAAGACCTGAATTGAAATCATACCTCTGACACATTGGTGATGTGATCCGAGGCAATTCACTCAACCTCTCAGGGCTCCAGCAATTCTCTTAGACTGTAACTTGAGGCAAGGATGCTGACCTGCATTTGCAGAGAGTTTTCTGAGCAGGAAGTTTGCTATGCCAGTGAAATCGCATCCTAATCTCTCAAGAACATTGCCCCAAGAACATCACTCCCAAACCTTGGCATATTTTGGACTCCTCTTTCTCATTCACTCCACATATCTGATCTCTGATCATTTCTACCTTCACAACATCTCTTGTCTGTCTTCTCTCCACTCATTCAGTCACAACTCTCTCACCACTTCCCTCTTGAATTATTGAAAGACTTCTAACTGATCTGCCTCAAATCTTTCCCCATTCTAAACCATCCTTCACTTGGCTGTCAAAGTGATTTTTCTAAAGCTTAGTTTTTACCATGTAACCCTCTTTCCTCCAAGAACACATTAAAAGTTTACCGGAATTTAAGGCTCTTCATAATCTGTTCCTTTTCTATCATTTCAGGCTTCTTACACCTCATTCTCCTCCATGTCTTTTTATCTAAGTACACCAACCTATTTGCTCTTCCTGCCACATGACATTCCATCTCCCATCTCTAGGCCCTTGTACTGGCTGTTCCTTATACTGGGACTGCTCTGTGCCCTCATTCCTTACCTCTGACTCTTAATTTCCTTAGCTTCCTTCAAGACTCAGCTCAAATTTTAGCATCAGGAGGTCTTTCCCAGATATTAATGCCTTCCCCCTTCAGATTACCTTCACCTATTCCATACACATTTCCCTTCCACATCTCAACTTTCCCCACTGATATTTTAATTATATTGAGGTTCAGTATAAGAAATTGAATGGGATTTTTTTTGGGAGTTTTGTGGAAGCCTCAGATGGTACATGAAGGCCAGCAGATGACAGAAAAAAGTTTAGAAACTCAGAAACACATGAAATATATGTATAGCATTGTATAATATTAACCCAAATTTTACAATAAGGTACTGTAAACATCCATAAAAGAAAAAGAATTCAGATTTCTCTGGCACAAAGGGAGGGCCAAAATTTTTTACTTGGATTTTCCAGATGGTGTGAGCACCTGCCTCTAATCTCCCTCCCCCATGTAGAGGGGATACTATACATATCTTGCATTTACTTATTTACATGTTGTATCCTTGATTAGAACGTATACTCCTTGAAGGCAGACAGTGTTTCTTACCTTTATTTGTTTTCCCAGCATTCAGCACAGTACCTTGCTGGTAGAAAACATTTAATAAACGCTTGTTGACTGATTGGCTGCATTCGACCTCACTTGTTTCCCCAAAGACCAAGAATCAGTTGTGTGCGCAACTGACTATAAAAGAGGGATTTCAGGGTTCTTTTTACTTTTATAATTTAACAATGCAGGATAATAATGGCAAACAGGTAAAATGCCGATTCAGGTTAGGACAATGGAAATTTACTTTGTATCTCTGAAAGGCATTTCCCTTGCTATGTTGTTAGGTCATTTCAGCTGTATCTGACTCTTCACAACTGTGTTTTGGGGTTTTCTTGGCAAAGATATTGGAGTGATTTGCCATTTCCTTCTCCAGATCATTTTACAGATGGGGAAATTGAGGCCAACAGGGTTAAATGATTTGCCCAGGGTCATACCATTAGTTGTGTCTGAGGCCAGATTTGAATTCATTCCTGAGTACTTTTTGATTTCAAGTCTAGTGTTTTATCCAATGCATCATCTAGCTGCCCCTTCCATTGCTATAGAAGAGTGAATAACATGAATTCAGGAGAGCACTGGTGAAATATTCCTTCTGCTTCTCAGTAAAGGAGTGGTGAACTACAGGTGAGGAATAAGGCACACATTTTTAGACACGACTAATGTACTGATTTGTTTTACTTGACTGATTTTTTTTGTAAAAAGAGCTAGGGGGTAAGGGGAAATGAATCAATGGAAAAAAGCTGAAAAAAAAGAAAATAATAAATTAAAAATAAATTATAAAAAATTGTAAAGGAATTGATAAGTAGGCCGCATTCCTTCCTCTCTCTTCTTTTCATGCCTGCTATACCTAGCCTCTTGGAAGAGCAACAGTGTTACTTGTTGCCTACCAATCCAATCACAAGCAAGAGTGCAGAGAGGCTATATACAATGATAGGAATCAAGCCTTAGTCCCTTGAATCCCCTGTAATTCCTTTCTCTTGGGGGAAATGGAAATGCCAAAGGAGGGAGAAGCAAGTACAGGTCCCCTGATACTCCCTCTTCCAAATATTGAAAGTTCTGTTTGAGGAAGAAGATACGTTACCTAAGTATCTGTTTTTCCTGTTAATGCGTTTTCATTGATTTGCTCTATAACCCACACCACTATAATTGATAAAAAAAAAAAACCCTCCTGAAGTTTAAGCTTCAATAGGGCAGGGAATGTGTCTTTTCAATGACTTCTCTCTTCCTTTCATCTAGAGACAATGCCAGGCACATAGTGGGCACCCAGCAGCAAATGTTTGTTGAAATTTAATATCTTCTGGGAACAACAATAATTACGGTGACTATTATTGTCATTATTTCCACTCTATTTGCAAACTGCAGCAGTCATTTATTTTAATCTCTTATATTTTGAAGGCTATGCTGACTTCAGATTCTGGGGGAATCACCTGAGGCTGTCCGGGTATAAAAATACGTAGAAATCTCTATAAGTAAGGCACCTCATTTTCTTCTTTTTAGCCTCCACCTCCAAATAAGAATACTCTCTACATTTTGGGAGAGGGGGTGGACATGGATGTGAAAGTGAGGCCTTGGAGATGGGAAATGTGTTTCAGTAAAACAGTCATACAAGTATAACTCTGAAACTACTACAGACTTGCTTTAGGGAATAACGCTGGGTTGGCTGCCCGTCTTGTAGACTGAACAAAGGAAGAATAAAAAATTCTGGCCTCTGAATGTCACCTGGCGCCCAGACGAGTTAAAAGTGCTGGTGACTCTTCTGGGATCTGACCCAAAAACCAAGAGGGAATCATTAGAAGGCTTGGGGTGGGGAAGAGATGGGGAAAGGTGCGTTGTGTCTGTGTCTGCCTGTGATGTGAGCCCCAGGAAGAGGTAACCTTCCTTGCAGAGGCATACACCTCTAGCAGTCTGCATGACTCGTGGGCGTGTGTTGGGAGAGCAGGAGAGGAATACCATCTGCCACATGGGAGCCGCGGGGGGCACCTGATTTGTGCGCACGGAAGGGTGGAGAACCGCTTTGGACAAGGGGCCACTTTGGCACATAGACCAGCACAGTGGGGAGGTATCTTATCTGGAGCCGAGGCTGAGAGTGGGGGAGGAGAGATGGAGGTCCGGGCAGAAGGTACGCCCCCTTCCCAGGATGGGGTCAGCTGCCACTAGTCCGCGTGCCCTGGCGCGTGGATGTGGAGGTGTTTGTCGGGGGTGGGCGGGAGGAGAGGGAGGTTGCTTCAGCCTCAGTGTCTGCGAGGACGCCGGGGAGGGAACTGGATGCGAATTTGCCGGATGCGAGCAGCAGGCGGCAGCCTTGGCCTTGCCTTGAACAGACCGGCGGAGCCGGGTGATGTCAGTAGTGGCTGGGCTGGCAGCAGTCTGTACTTCCTGTATAAAGGAAGGCTCGTCTGCAAACACCACTAGCCAGTCCCAGCTTCTTTTGACGGAGCAGCCGCCGCCGCCACCAAAGAAGCAGTAGCAGCAGTAGTAGCCGCAGCAGGATTGTCAAATTCGGGAGCCAGCTTTCTCCCTCCCCTCCCTGGCTAATCCCTTCCGCTTCTCCGGATCCTAGCTTGACATCTCTGGACCCAGGAGCTGCATGAGTGTGCGTGCAAAACAGCGGAAGAATGGCAGTCCTCAAACTCACCGACCAGGTACGAGAGGCAGCCGCAGGCGGACGCGAGCAAGGCAGGCACCCCAGCCACCGCCTCCGCGGGCTTGGGAGAAGCTCCCCCCGGGGTCCCGAGAGCGCAGCTGGCGCCCCGCTTGTCAGCCCCGGCTAGGGAGAGGGCGCACTGATGAGGAAGATGAAGATGAGAATGAAGATGGGGATGGGGAGAAACACTAGCCCGAGCTCCCGGCGAGCTGTTTACACAGGGAGAAGGGGAGGAGTGTTTAGGGCTGTACGCTGCCTTTCTAAATCCCGGCGTTTCCCCGTTCTCCTCCCCCTTGCCCTCCTCCCCGCCCTATGCCGTCGGAAATGCCCCTGCTGCTCTTGCGCTCCCCTAGCTCTCCCCCTACCAAAGGCGGGGGAGGGGGTGACTGACTGCTTGGGTGGTTCTAGCTTACAGCCTAGATCCATGTGTGTGTGTGTGTGTGTGTGTGTGTGTGTGTGTGTGTGTGTGTGTGTCTGTGTGTCTGTGTGTAGGGAGTGATATACGTGGGCTAAGATCTGAGACGGAGCGAAGGGGGAGGGGAGGCTTTAAGGTTCTCCCCGGGGCTAATAATGTGCTGCGTAGTGTAGGCTAAGTCAGATTTTGCATTCAGTAAGAGAAGGCATGCAAATGCTACCGAGAGGAGGGAGACACTGGGTGGGGGGGAGGGACGGCAAAGAGAGCGAGAAATATAGATTGGAGATACCTCAATGAACCAATCAAGTAGAATAACCCAAGCTGTTTCTCTTTTAAGGCATATGTGTGGTTAGCCAGTATTTGTCCGTTTGACAATATTCTGACTTCCTCTTAAACTGCCTAGACTCTGTGTGTGTGTGTGTGTGTGTGTGTGTGTGTGTGTGCGTGCGTGCGTGTGTGTGTGTGTGTGTGTGTGTGTGTGTGTGTGTGTGTGTTTACCCTTCAAGGCTGCTTTTCCGGCTCTAGCTAGAGCTCGGTCTCTCCCAGTGAGATGGGAGGTATGAATGTCCGTTTGGGCTTTCCCTAACTGGTGGTGGCTCGAACCCCCGCCTCCGTGATTGATTAGTCGGCTTCCTTCCTCCCTGAAATGCTGCCCCTTGCTGCTCTATAGTGTTAGCCCGGAGGTGGTCCGCTTAATTTCCAGACGGGTGAGATTTGTGCGCCTTCCAGGGGCCCACCCTTCCCTCATTCTGCACTAAGTAAAGGGGATTAAAGCAAGCCACCTTTGTGTGTGCCCTGCTGCCTTTCATAAATTGATCTTTATGTACAACAGACTAAGTGACTGATCAACTCCCCTTCGATCTCTTCCACATAGCTTTAGCTTCCTCCCCACCCCCCACCCCCAAAAAATTTACAATGAAATGAATATTCTGAAGGAAGAAAAGCCTGTGTTGGAATTCTGAGACTGGGGAACTCATCTTGACACTAATACACGTAATTAAACCTATCCTATGGTCTTTCCCACCTCTTAGTACAAATCGTGGCCCTGTCTCACCTCAGTCTTTTAACCTAGATCGAAGTGATTGGTTAGCTGTTTAGTCTAAGACATTGAATTTGGGGCCTGTCACCCCAGAGACATAAGTGAGATTAATTACCATAACGTCTAGTAACGATTTTTCTCTCCACTTCTTTCTTACGTTAAAACACCAGATCCAAAGTTTCATAGAACCTTACAGACTATTACCAATACATTCATACCTAAGATTTCTGTTTAACTTGCATTTAGCAGAAAGAGTACAGCTGGTGATTGGAATTAACTCTCTTACCATTGGTTTTAAAGCATTTAAAATGTTTTGTAAGTTGATAACTAGGTTTTCCATTGTCTATTTAGTTCATGTACTTTACCAACTGTTAGACATTCCCTTGTTTTATTCTGCTAATTTTAGTCTGACTTGGTCAGACATCTGTTCCCATATACATTCTGATGCTTCAGTGTTTGCCCATCAATTCCAAAATCTCCCTAATGTAATTTTTATGTATGCATAGTAAAGCCTCCTTAAATAAGGCTTTGTGACATGCTCTAAAGATAATTTTAATATGGTTAAATAGTATTTGCTTTACACCTCAACAGGTTTAGAAATAGTGCTTTTTAAGCTAAGCTATATACACTGATAAAAAGATATTTACTTAGAATAATCTTTCCATACTTGTCATCGTAGAATTTACAATGCTATTACATTCTCGAATGTCCTTGGAATTTTTTTTTTAGCCTTGGAAATAAAGCCAGGGGAAGAGAAAACTGCACCACCTACATATAATTTGTTTCTACCTCATAGGTGAAATGCACCTGAGAAATAGTGAGGTTCAGGTAATCTGGGGAAAAAGGATTGAAGGGTACATGAAGCTGCTGGGAGTAGTAAAGATAGCAGTAAGTGGGGTTTGTAGGGCACTTGGTATAGGAAGTGAGGCTTTTTTGTGCTATATAAAGCTTTACGGTTTCAGGCTAATGCTCTGGGTTCTTGGAATCTTTTTCACAGTTTCTGTGAAAGCTTGAAACCTTTGCCTAAACCTCAGCTTGAAAAGTCTTGTCTCATCATTCTGAGTAGATAATAGCTGTGGTTTTAAAAACTGCTTTTTATTTTGTGGTGGAGAATGTTTCTTTCTATTTATTAAAGAGTGAAGTTATTTTTTTCTTTTGTTTTACATCTTCTTGTGTGAAGAGAATCTCAGTTTTTTAGCATGGCTCTTGGATTTTCTCCTGACTCTTCTTCTTAGCTATTGGTATCTCAAGCTACCAATCCTGGTTTGTTTTTAAATGTTTTGGAAATAGAGGTTAAATGATAATGCTATTTCCCCAGTTTTGTTACCATGTCCTGCTTTGGGGGAGGATAATCATGTCTTGAACAACTAGATCATATAGTGACCTCAATCCTTTATCTAAAGGGAAAATGAAATTTCTTAATGTCTGTTGGGGGAGGGGGAAGGAGTCATAAGTAAGGGGATGGGCATGCAGGTATATCTTTTCCTTCCCTGCCATAAAAAGTAATTTGAACTAGTAAGACTAATTCTGGAGGTTGAGATTTAGCTCTGGAGTTGTAGTTTTGGTGCAATGGAAAGAGCGCAATTAGGGTTAGGGGTCAAGGAGATCTTGGCCAGTTCTGCCACTTACTAGAGTGACCTATGGCTAGTTATTTAATTTTTTTGAATGTTAGTTTCCTTATCTGAAAGACAAGAATGCTAATAATACCCCAGCCCTTGTGAGGATCAAATAAGGTTTTGTATGTGATAGCTCTTTGACTACTTAAAAGTGCTATACAAATCTTAACTTGGGAATGATAACATGTGGCTTCCTTTCCTCTTCACCCCCCTCTCCTTCTCTCTCTTCCTGGCTATTTAGGATGCATTTATCTTCCAAGTCTAAAATTTCATCACTAGGCACTTTTTGAAAACACCTCTGTGACTTTGGTAATTATCCTGAGCCTCTGCACCCCCCCACCTTTGCCCCTCTGGACCTCAGATGAAATACATTGCTGGTCAGTACTTGAAGCCTCCCTGGTTTAGTAGGACATTCCATAGCTTGTGTTCTGTAGGCACAGTCTTTGAAAAGCCAGAGTCACCTTCATTTTTTAATGGACGGTATTTAACTACAGGATAGACAGAATGTTATTTTGAAGAGATGGATGTTTTTCAGACAACACATTTTAGATGATATAAAAAGTTATTTTTTGACTAGCAGAGATGAAAGATACTATAGAAGTATAATAGCTTCTTAGGCAGAAAATAATGTAATAAGATGAAAATGCTTATAATTCTGATCCAGGGTTTTAGGCATCAACATTTTTTTCTAACATTTTCAAGCCTAACATTGTGAAGTATAGATACTTTTGCTGCATCTTTAGCCTGTCACAGCTTAAAAACAATAACGTCAAGCATTCATTTAGAATGATAGAATTCTGTTTGGTCTGATTAATTTATATTATTGCTATCTGCATTTATTGATGACACCAATATTTCTTTTCTCTTTTGGCTATCCCAATCTATAGGATTGGTGCTAGGCGGAGTACTTCTGTAGATTGGTTTTGGTGTCCTGTTCCCAGATTCTTGTCTCAGCATTTAATGTTGCTTATTTTCCTCCCCAACCCAGTTGTAAAACTTACCATTACCCTTCAGTGACCAAGGACCATAACTAGAATTTTGTCTAGCTCCTCTTTTCCCTATCATTGTTGTTATTTAGTCATGGCTGACTCTTTGTGACCCCATGGATATTGAAGGGCATGCTGGGCCCTACTATCATCTACTATCTCCCCAAATCTGTCCAAGTTCATATTCATTGCTTCCATTCCACTTTCCATCTCATCCTCTGCTGTCCCCTTTTCTTTTAGCCTTCTATCATTCCCCTATCACTTTCTACCTTTATACTTATTTGTGTATAATCTTTTCCCTTCCTGCTCCCTCTTTTAAACTGTAAACTCCTGAAGGGCAGAGGTCAGTCAGTCAGTTAACATTTATTAAATGCCTACTATGTGCCAGGCACCATGCTAAAAACAGGTCGTTTTTCATCTTTCATATCCGTAGTGGACACTTAGTAAATACTTATTGAATTGACTTATGACCTCTACACTAGTATTTAAGAAAGGCTAGAAATAAAAGGTGATAAACCACTTTCCCTACTCCTTTTAGCACCTGTGTCTCTCAGTATAAATCTGATTTTAAATAATAAAACTGTCAGGCAAAGAACTAATCAAATGGACCTATTTCCAGTGTCTAGCATGCGAGGAGCAAACTGGGCAGCAAGAGTAAAATAATTTAGTGGGAAGAAATGAGGGCATGAGATAATAAGATGTTTGCAGTAGGAATAGTATGACAGCCTGAATGCTAGAGAGATTATGGGCATGGGATTGGCAGGACTTGGTAACTGATTTAATATCTTGGGAGAGTTAAGGATGATTCTGATGCTATGAGGCTGAGTCACAGGCAGGATGGTAGTGGCATTGACAGGTTTAAAAAAAGTTGGGGTAGGGAGAAGGTGAGTTCAATCTTAGACAGTTTGAGGTGCCAGCAGGCCATCTAGGTGGAGATATAGG